TGTCTTTCAAATTTCCTGCTTCATGGAAAAGTCTGCTAGATACGATGGGCCTGGAGACCAAAGATGGGTGCTCCAATGGTACAGAAGAACTTTGGGGGACTGTCCAGGCAGTGAGATGTCTCTGTCAATTCTAGAGTTTTAGAAGTTGTTTACAATGTACTTCCTGTTTACTTAGGTAATATATCCTTTTGGAGTCTTTGACGGAGTTGAAGAATATATAGTAATAGTTTTCCTTAGTTATGATGAAAGATAAAGTAGATACAAATATTGTAACTATAATTCTTGTTTGGTAATTGTTTTGTTGTATGTAATCTTGCTATGTTAAAGTTAAAACCTTCCTTTTTATTTAGACAGAAAAGGGGAGGTGATGTGGGATTCCCCTCTGCATGCTGGGAATACCATTGGTTAATAAAGAAGCTGCTTTAGGTCTATTGCTGTGCAGAATAGGGCAAGGTGGGAGTTCCAAGCAGAAAGAGGAGGAGAAAGCAGGCAGAGTCAATCAGATGCCACAGATGCACCGAACCTTGCCAGTAAACCACGAGCCAGAAAGTCTCATGTATCCCAGGCTGACCTCGAATTCAATGTATATAGCTGAGGATGATGTGTATGTAGCTCTCACATGCTGGGGCTACAGGCATGCACCACAATACCACAATGCTTGGTTTGTATAGTGCTGGGGATCTAACCAGAGCTTTGTCCACATTAGCGAAGTACTCTATTTACTTACTGAATAGTATCTTCAGTTCAGTTTCTGCCAACTAAAAGCTTTGCTATGTGTTCCTTCCCTCCCTCTCTCCCATCCTTCCTTTCAATTTTTTGAGCTAGGATGTTATTCTGCAGACCAGACTGGGCCAGAATTCACTCTGGAGCCTGGTCTGACCACAAACTCATGGCAATATATCTTCCTCGGCTTCCTAAGTGCTGTGATTACAGCTATGAACCACCTCACCTGGCAGTATAATATTTCTTCATATTTTCAATAATTACCCAAAAAGAAAAAAAGCAATGAAAAACCAAAACAAGATGGCATTTACAACCATAGTCACTATGCAGTATATAGGGGCAGGGGATTGGTGGGGAGCTGGTTGGTCCACCATAACTATAATTCCCATCTCCTAGATAATAACTAGGGAAGAAGAGACTGTGAAAGATACAGTTCTTACCAGCTGTGTGGAAAAGGGTTCTGGGGATTTCACCTATACTGTTTTGGGTAAAAAGCCCCTGCTGTAGATGAAGGTGCCCCCCAGGTCACATTTGAAGCCTTGGCCTCTGGAACCTCAGAGCATGGCTGTATTTGGAAACAAGGTCACTGTGGCTCTAGTTAGTTGGGATGAGGTCATGTTGGAGCAGAGTAGACCCTATAAGTGAAATGGAGAAAAAATGGACATACTAGAAGGGTACCATTGGAAGATGAAGTTGGAGGTTGATGATAGCTCTACAAGACAAGAATGATCAGTACATGCAGACGGTGATCAAACTGGGCAGATTTCCCCACTAGCCTGGGAAGGAACATCCTGCCCTACCTGCATCCAGCCCAACCTAGGCAAATGTACTGCTGAAGCCCATTTGTGTTCCTGTGTTTATGTTCCTACAAAGTGGCCCCAGGAAAATGGTTATACTCTCCTAGTCACCTCTACTGAAGGCTGTAGTAACTGCCCCGTGGTAGCACAGGCAAAGTGACAAAGGGTCTTATCTCACCTATACGATCCGGGCCTTTGCTGTGAGTCTGACTACTGAGCTAACCCACCCCAGGACTTCTTGTCACCACAGCAAGCTGGGGATGGTGATGTCTTCTCACTGGTGTGTCCCTGGGCTTTGCTCTAGAGTAGTATGGAATAATTTCTCTACTTTAGGCTGATATGAAATAAGCTGATGTAGTCTTTTGTGAGCATGCTCACTGGCACACTACAGAGAGCAAACTTGCAAACATACTAATAGAAAGAGGCCATATGCATGGACGTATTTAACTTAACAAGTATGCCCAAACTAGTACATAAATCTTTCTAAATTCCAGGTTTAAAACCACAAAAGATTTGCATGCACGAATGTCCGAAGCCCACTGGCATGACCAGGTTATAAGATTGAAGCGCAAGGATAAGGAAGTGCTCAGGACAGTCAGGGTCAGCCTAGAGTAAGGGCAGCAGAGGAGAGCTAGCTCTGACTCAAGTTATACAGGTAAGATGGCATTGAGGTAAGAGACCAGCTAATGATCAGAGTTCCTAAACAAAGGGCTCTGCACAGGTGGCCATCTCTAGGCTGAAAGGACATACTGCAAAGTTGAAAATGCACCAGATAATTCCTGCTAATCAACAAGAAAAGAGAATACATCCTTAAAATAGCACATGGTACAGGAATCAAAATCCAGCATCTCTAGCAAGGACAGAATGATGAGCAATGGAGTGTATGAAACAGATGCATCCAAATAATGTTTAACAGCACCCAGTTATCTGTGGAGTATCAGAACATGGAAGTGGCACTGAGTAAAAGATGCTTGTCCCAGCCCTGCTAGCATGAAGCCATTCATTTGGTGGCAGTTCCAGCCCATGTGTTCAGAACATTTGTGTGCATGGTGGTGGTTGTTTTCAGGGGCTAAATTAGCTCAGCTTCGGGTGAAATGACAAACTACATTGAAATTATTTCCCATCTCTTACAGCACTGCCTGTGACTTTAATAGCTAATGCTCATCTTTGCAGCCATCTATGTTACAAGAGCAGTTTATGGGATGCCGTTATTCAGTTTCCTGTTACAAATGTTTGTTCATTTTAATCACGACAGGGTGGTGAACACCAACTAGCCTAGCTGCAGGATTAGATAACTGAAAGAACTCAAAATTCCGCTGTTTTTCATTGCTGTAATCAAACTGCTGAGGGTCTTTTCAAAACATTTGTGATCTGACTGTATTTCCTGTAGAATTATTTTAAGTACTATTTTATGTTCTTTTTTTTTTCTCTTTGTATTTCAAGACAGGGTTTCTCTATGTAGCTTTGGAGCCTGTCCTGGAACTCACTCTGTAGACCAGACTGGTACTCAGAGAGATCCGCTTGTCTCTGCCTCTCTAGTGCTGGGACTAAAAGGCATGTACTGCCACCTCTGGGATTATTTTTTGTTTCTTAAGGTTTTCATTGTTTTGAGACAGGCTCTCATGTATTCCAGATTGGCCTTGAACTCACTATCTATGGAGCTGAGGATGACTTAGTGTGAGGTCACAGGCCTGTACCACTATACCCAGTCTCATTATTTCTTAGTTTTATAGTATCTTTGCTTCTCGGTCATATTTTCCATCATTTGTTTGTTTGTTGTTTGTTTGCAGGGTTTCACTGTGTAGCCCTGGCAGTCTTGGAATTCACTTTGTAGACCATGCTGGCCTTGAATTTACATAAATCAAACTACCTTAGCTTCCTGAGTGCTGGATTAAAAATATGTGCCACCATTCCCAGCATCCTTTATTTTATTTGAGCTGCCTTTTAAAAATATACCTTTATTGTTCTTTGAGAAAATTTCTTTACTCAGACCTAGAAAACTTCTCTGTTAATCTGGAGGAAGAGCCATCTGCTAGAACATCACGTGACTCCAGGTGCACAGCTGGGAACTTATGTCTCATGTCATCCCTAGGAAGGGCTGTTGGGCTTCAGGACCAGGTGACTCCTTGACATCTGTTCCTCCATGGCTGCTGCTGAAGCATCAGCTCTCTTGTCTTTGCCTGCATTTGTGCATGCATCTTCATTGCTTTGCTGAATTCTGTTTAGTGCTTTGTTAACCAGCAATGTAAGGAAATCAACTGGGAACAACTGGATGCTACACTTGGAGTCCAATTCAGATAGTTAAAAACTTAAGAGAAAGAGAGGAGACAGTGTGTGTGTGTGTGTGTGTGTGTGTGTGTGTGTGTGTGTTATGGTGAATTGAATCCAGGACTTTGCTCTACTAACTGAACTACATCCCTAGCTTCTTTCTAAAAATTTAACTAATTTCTCTGCTTTACACTTCTAGGTTTGAGGCAGCAGCATCTTCACAAGCACCTTTGTTCAAACTACCAGATACAGTGTGCTATTCTCTTACCTTTGTTCTTTTTTTTAATTTTTAAAATTTATTATGTATACAATATTCTGTCTGTGTATATGCCTGCAGGCCAGAGGAGGGCACCATACATCATTACTTATGATTGTGAGTCATCATGTGGTTGTTGGGAATTGAACTCAGGACCTTTGGAAAAGCAGGCAATGCTCTTAACTGCTGAACCATCTCTCCAGCCCCTACCTTTGTTCTTTCTAGTCCAGTGGGACAGAACCACAAGGTGGCCTTGCATTTTGAATGCCATCTTTTAAGCTAGTTCCTAAGAACTCTGAGAACACCAAGCTTTCTCGACACTTCAGCCCGACCAGGGGATACATGTTCTGCCGGGTCTGGTTTCTAGTGGAGGGTCAGCTTGGAGGCAGCTCCTACCTTCTCTTCTTCCTGGGGGCACTAGCCACTTCCTTCAGCTCCTGGCCCTTAGGGTGTAGTTGATGCCTGGGTTGTAATATGAGGTAAGGGAGCTCCGGAGCCTCCAAGTATAGACTGGTTTGGGCTATCTGCCAGAAACCCCTTACTTTGCTGAAGGTTGAAGCATACGCTTGGCTTATCAGCCACAACACCTGGTTATGACCACCTTGACTAGAACCCTGGCTTTGGCTTTTTTGTATCACTCTCATATGGTAGGTGCTTCCCCCTAAGGATGAGAAGAGGGACATGCCTCACTGCAGGGTGTCAAAATAGGAGCCAGAGACCCTAAGATACTTTGAAGGCGGGACACGTGGGACCCACCCAGAAAGGATCCTACCCTGGAGTCCTCCCTCCCTCCCTTCCATGGAGCCCACACCTGAAAAAATGTCTCTAAAACCATTTGATGGCAGCCTTCACCCTCCAAGGGTCGACAGGGTGGAGCAGAATCTTGACAGTAGGGGCAGCCTGCAGCAGCTGAGTTCCAGGCCCCAGACCCTGCTTGCCCTAGACCAGGCTCTCACCTGAGGGAGCCCAGGCAGCTGTGGTTCAGCTTCAGTTGGATCAGGTTAGGGAGGTGCACTCCTGTGGGCCACAGGAAGGAGAGGTTGGCCTAGCCCCAACAATCCTGCCCACCTCTTTGCAGTGTTCCCCACACCCCCAAGAGGGATTGTTCACAGGCACATGGCTTTTCTGGCTCATAGAGGGACCGATTCTCTGGGGCCTGTGGAGGAACTGGCCCAAATGTTCTGAGCCTTCTCTCCCCTCGCCGTGTAGGGGTTGCATGTCCTTCCACCTGGGTGCAGCCTAGCACAGGTAAAATAGGTGTAGAAAGGTGAACACACTGGCAAGAACCTGACTCGAAGAAGAGGAGCAAAGTTGGCATGGATAAGGTGAACCCTGAGCACATCCCCTCATCGATCCCAGGACCTGAAGTACCCCTTTGGAGGTCTTTCAACATGCAACATTACGTAACACGTCTCAGGAATGCCCTGCCAGTGTCCTGCACAGCCTAAAGCTCCAGACCCCCATTCTCAAAGCTTCTTAGGGTGAGACTCTGGCCCTAGACACAGAATCCCTGAATGATGTAGAGAGGTGTCTAGGATGTCCTAGAAGGCCCCAACAAAGAGCTGGTGCCCCCTGATCTCACAGGTGCACAGAGATACTGCACTGAGCTGTCAAACACTTAAATTGCAAAATTGAAAAACAAGCTAACCGGGATTGGAGGTGTTTAACTTCACTGGTAATCAGAGAAAAGCAAAGAAAATGCACAACTATCCTGCACAGCAGGAATCCTTCCTGTTGGGATGGTTGGTGAAATTTGAACAAGGTCTGTGACACAGATAAGAGTGCTCTATCAGTGTTCTTTTCTGACTTGGATCATTACACTGAGAGTATTTAAGATAATGGTCTCCCTAGGAAGTAGCAGGCACTGAAGCATTAGTGAACAAGAAGAATGGTTGCTCAGATTTAAAAAACAAGTGTCTCAGAGGTAATGTGTGTGTGTGTGTGTGTGTGTGTGTGTGTGTGTGTGAGTGTGCACAAGCATGAAAGAGAAAGAATGGAAAGATTTCTGCTGTAGTAATTGCAGAGGGGATTCTGGAGGAAGATACATAAGGGATTAATATAACATTTGTGCAATGTGTCTATAATCCAAATCCATTCAAGATAAGTTCCGGGAGCACCTTGCATGGGAGCATAGTACCTTTGTTATTTGTCCATATTGGTATTGGTGTTTGGGTGTGGTCCTTGGAAAGTCCTTTCGGAATATATACCCTGGGCTAAAACTTCTAAGTCGAGTATATGTCTTATTTCTATGGTCCATTCCTAAGGAAAGGTACATCCTGTCCAGGGTGTTGGCTAGCTTTCATGTACAACCAGAAAATACAGTTGGCTCATGGAAAGGTCTAGTTGTGACAGTCACAGGGGCACGGGTGTGACTGGCGGCTCTCACCGAAGTTCCCCAGGCTGTTCTTACGGGTGTCCACACACATCTCCAGCACCCTCACCAGTTGGAGGTCATCTACCTGGGCCAGGGCCTGCTGCAGAAATCATCAGGTGTCACTTCCAGTTTTCTCCATGCTTTTGGCTGAGGACTCTGTAAAGGTGCCTACTGGAGCAGGTGGCAAATGTTCCCCTGCCTCATCCAGATTGGGCTTGCAATAACAGTTTGGCTGGTGGGCATGACACGAGCAGAGGTTGTAATTGACTATCAGGGAAGGGCCTGCCCTTGAGGTGCCAGTCTCCAGGTGAGACCTTCATACAGATTCAACAATGCAGTTGGAGCCCAGAACCCTGGTAAGCAGCACCCAGCCACAGCATACCTGGACCAGAGAACACACAAAAACACTCAAGCTGGAAGTCAAGGGGTGGGGACCTGCTGGTCTATCTGTCCTTGTAGATGGGCAAGACCTTTTTGTATGTGAAATATAGGCATGATCTCTCAGGATCGTGGGCCACACCTGCTACGGCATCGAGGGACGCCTTGGGAGAACACATGCAGGCTCTGGCCTAGCAGGCTAAACAGTTATTCTGAGGAGGTCCTTGGTAATACCAACTACCATGATTCTCTCCTTCATAGTGGTCAGCCACGAGTGGATAGCAAACTCTAAATCCTGAGAGCTTCAGGGTTGTCCAGATGAACTCTACAAAACCTCAGGATTCAGGGATGCGGTACACTCATAAGCTCTCACGCTGGATGTGGAGAATAGTCTTTACCTGATGCCAATATAGCCAGCATACCAAGGACAGATCCTACCTCAGGCTGGTTGAGAGGAGACTGAGGAACTCTAGCCTTGGGAGGGGAGCCATGCGCCATGACCAGCTGCCCTTTCAGCATCCCAATATGCCACTTCCTAGTTCTCCCTGTTGCAACATTAGCTCTTGAATAATAGGCTTCTTGTCTGCGTGAGCACAGGCCTCAGCCAATAGTTACGGAATCCTGGCCCAACAGTGCCATCTGTGATCTCAGTGCCTGGGGATGCTTGTGTCACTTGGGCTACTGGCAGGGACCCTACTGGTGGAAAGGTAAGAGATACCTAGCGGAGGGAAAGCTGGATACCAGCAGAAGGGGTGCCAAGATGCCATCTCATGCAGACCCACGGTGGAGCCTCAGGCCCCAATCACTTACCAGCCGAGCAGGGGAAAGGTGCTCTTCCACCCTCCGCTCCCTGTGGATATCCCCATGGCTGCCCCGTCTCTTGTTTTGTGGGCAGGGGTTGGTTAGGCCCTGCCAGCTCAGCTCCCGTACCCGGATACTAGCTGTGCCTGGCCGAGGTCCCTGGGATCCATCCCAGGCTGGGTCCATCCACATCCAACCTGTTAGGAGAGGCAGAGAGCCAAATCTCCTAGTTTACAAGGCTCTAGTTCACATCAATGGCCCACAAAGCCATTAGGTCAACTCTCACATAGCCCCACAACCCAGCCTGACGTGGCACTTTAGCAGTCTAGATAACTGGACAGCACATGTCTGCTCCCTTACTTTCAGCTGAAACTTCCTGCTTGTGCTAATAACTTCTCTCCCTTTCCTTCTATATGTTGGGGGGAGATTATTTAACTGTTTTATAATTTGTATGTGTATGTGTGAATGTGTGTGAGCATATGTGTGCGTGCATGTGAAGGCCAGAGGACACCTTGGGTGTCATTCCTCAGGTGTCATCCTCCTTTTTTTTTTCTTCTAGTTTTTCGAGACAGGTTTCTCTGCAGCTTTAGAGCCTGTCCTGGCACTAGCTCTTGTAGACCAGGCTGGCCTCGAACTTACAGAGATACACCTGTCTCTGCCTCTTGAGTGCTAGGATTAAAGTTGTGCACCACCACCGTCTGGCTTTTTTTTTTTTTTTTTTTTTTTTTTTTTTGTGAGAGAGAGAGAGAGAGAGAGAGAGAGAGAGAGAGAGAAAGTCTCTCACTGGCATGTGGCTTACCAAATAGGCTAAGCTGACTTGCCAGCAAATTCCAGGCACCTGCCTGTCTTTGTCTCCCCAGTGCTGGAATTACAGGATCACTTTACCATGCCTGGCGTTTTATATGTGAATTCTGAGGATCAAACTCAAGTCTTCATGCTTACAAAGCAGGCAATTTACTGTCTGAGTGATTTCTCTATTCCTTTCTTTGGGTCTGTATTTGTTTTCCACAGTGTCCATGCAATGAGCACTGGCTCCAGTCTTTGCCAACTTGGGCTTCACAAAGACTATGAGTTGGGGCTGGAAAGATAGCTCAGTGGTTAAGAGCATTTGACTGCTCGTACAGAGGACCTGTGTTTGATTCCTAGCATCCATATGCCTGTACCCAAGGAATCAGATGCCCTCTTCTGGCCTCTGTGGTACACACACACACACACACACACACACACACACACACACACACATATGATAAAGAATATTGTTTTAAGGTTATAAGACTAGGGATACTGGGCAAGATGCCTATATGGACCAGCAGCCAGCGGTTACAGACAGTTCCCTGGGCTGCCCCAGATCTGGCTGTGGATCCTTCTTCTTTACTGGTCTCTTGAGTCAAGGTCAGGACCAAGATAGCAGACATTCCCTCCAACCACCCACTTCTCTGGCTGAGGCCCCACCTGCAGGTTCCTGGCTCCTGTTGTAGGTCAAACATCCGGGCAAGAGGGCCACATGTGTCTACATGTAATACCTGTAAGAAAGAGTTAGATTCGCTTCCTGGCTATGTCACTGTGCTCTGTAGCACCTGGTTAAGCTGGCCAAAGTCAGCTCAGAAGCAAACAGGTAGAAGAATGGAGTGCTTTTAGCTGGGGGCTTGATCTTGAACCTCCTGTGACCTTAGAGGTGGATGAGGCTCAGACAATGAGGAAGACAGTCCAGGGTCCCTCTGGGTCACCTAGTGCAAACGAAGACACGGTCCTCACCCAAATTCTGCTGCTTCTTCCACGCCTAAAGGGGATGCTGGGTGTGTGGTTCAGAATCTTCTGTAGGCCCACCTCTCCTGAACTTTCCATACATATGGAGTTTTTTCAGGTACCTCTCTACACCTCCATCCAGGTTTGACCGACCCCAAACTTCTTCACTTTTTACTGTCTTTACTTAGAAGTAAGAGTTGTCTCCTTCCACTGCACTTCACTACTTATTGCTTATACTCAGTACAGTGTGTCTGCCCCACAAGATGTAGGCCCCACCCTTCGGCCCAGGTTTCCCCTAGCACAAAGGACATGGAGAAGCGGTACCTAGCTCTCACCTGAGGGGTGGGCCAGGGTGCCCAAGTCCTGGGCGCATCCCTGGGCCCCACCACCGCGGCGGTCGCTCTCTTAAGTGAGGGCTTTCTTTTTTCCACCGCGGAGGGGGTTGCGGCCCTGGCGCCATGGCAACGGGGGCGGGGTCTCATTTGAATATCCAAATATTCGTAAGCCGCGGGCATCCGGGGCCGCGCCAAGATGAGCCCCGCCCCCTAGCAACGGTTGCCGGGACACGCGGCAGACCCGGTGGGAGGGTTCCCCAGATTAAGGAGGCAAGCCGGACTGCTGAACGCAGTGAAGACATGCACAGCGGTCCCGAGAGCCGCCGTGGGGGCCGTGAGGGGCTCTGGCAGGCTCCGAGCGGGCTATGTGCCTGTTGGCCGCATCGGCCGAGCCGAGCTCGCACTCCGGACGACACGTGAATGCGCGCCCCCAGGCCTGCATCTATCGGTTTTCTGAGGAGGACGTGCTTACTCGTTTCTTTGAAATTTCAGTGTTGGAAACATTGTTTGCGTCTGACACAGATGTACCCTACTTACTTGAGTGGGTGGAACACTTCATTTCGCCCTAATACCAACTTTTCTGACTTTCAGAGTCTTTCTTCAAATGGGAGCAAGTATGAGCTGCTGCATGCAGGGTTGTGACCTCGAGTTTTATTTTTTTTGGGGGGGGGAGGGGTCTTCTCCAAAGCACAAGGAGCGCAGAGTAATGAGCCGACGCTGTCCCGGGATGGGGCCTTCGCTCCACCTCGGCCTACGGGAACAGGCAGCTCGGGGTTCCGGCGGACTCTGCCTTCCTCTGGTATCCGGCGTCCGCGGTGCTGACTGTCCCCGACACTAGTTGCCCACCGAAATGACTTTTCCGTTCCCTGGGCCTTTGGGCCTCTGGTGAGGGTGCAGGGTGGGAGCTCAGTGACAGGCCCTGCGACCCAACCCGAGCGTACGGCAGTTTCTCTCCGGAGGAATCTCGGGCTCTTAAGCACGGGCTCCCTCACTCTTCCGCACCTCGGAACTAGGCGCCGCTCCTCGAGTGCAGCACCCAGGTCGCTACACTGCCTCTCCGGGAAGCCCCGCCTAGCTGCGGCTCCTGACGGATGGGTTGCTGAACCAACCACGACAGGTCGCGGTAAGGCGGAGCTCGACCAATCACCGGTCGTCTAGAGTTGACGGACGGGCGCGGGGCGGGGCGGGGCGGGGCGAGCGCGGGCCCGGCCGAGTCCCCGCCGTCCGCGCCCGGCGCCCGCAGCCCGAGCCGCACCCGCCGCGGACGGAGCCCATGCGCGGGCCCAGCCGGCGCCGGTCCGCGCCCCCGCCCTGCCCCGGCCCCGGCCCCGGCCCCGGGGGCAGTCGCTCCAGCAAGCGGTGAGTTCGGGCGCGGGGTGGGGCGCGGGGCGCAGGTGATCGGTGCTTCCTCGCTCCTCGTAGCCCGGCAGCGTGCCTAGCGCCCGGCTGCCCGCCTCTGCGGCCCGGCCCGCCCCGCCTGTGGCCGCCCTCCCGGCCAGGCGCCGCCCGGGCCTCCGGAGACTCTGTGCCCCGCGGCCATCACGCTCCGGCCTCGGGGCTACAAGGACACCCGTGCCTGGCCCCAGTCAGGGCCTTCTGCTCCCCAGCTACCCTTCGCGCCCCTTGTGAGTCTTTCCCGCAGTCACCTGCTTCCCACACCCTCAGCCGCTCCCCCCCCCCCCCCCCCCCCCCCCCCCCCCCCCCCCCCCCCCCCCCCCCCCCCGGCTTGCTGAAGGCTCCCTGGCCCCTTGTGGAAGGTCTGTCTCAGCGGAGGGCAGGGTCCCTTCCCTTCCCCCGCTGCCAGGACCGCGCCTGGCATGCAGTAGGCGCTCAGTAAATACTTGTCGGTTGCACCCACATGCCGGCGGGCCGGAGCCGGTTGTAGGCTGGCACTGGCCTGCCTGGGCACGCTGAGGCCGCCGTGGTAGGACCTGTTTTTTGGGGGGGTGGCCTCAGCCTTCAGGCGCCTCCAGTTGAGGCTTTCTGCCTACCTAGCGACTTCTAATTTGGGTGCGTGGTTGGGAGAAGCTCTCAGCTGTCAGCCCTGCCTTGGGGGCCTCTCCCTGCTTCCTCACACAGCCATTAAGTGCTGCTGGAGGAGGTGGGGGGCCTCCCTGTCCCAGCTGGAGGTGCCACAGGTGAGTGACTAGGCCGCTGTTGTGGCTGGCCTGTCTGCTCAGTGCTGGAGAGGGCCTTTGGGTCAGGCACCTATTAGCAGTCTCAAGTGGCCCGGGCCTGGCTAAGTATGGTTCTCATTGGCAGGTGGGGCAGGAGCTCCTGGAGTGGCAGCCCCTATAGAAGCGATGACAGAATACAAGCTTGTGGTGGTGGGCGCTGGAGGCGTGGGAAAGAGTGCCCTGACCATCCAACTGATCCAGAACCATTTCGTGGACGAGTATGACCCCACCATAGAGGTGAGCTCTAGCTACCTGCCTAGGCTCTGGCAGTGGTCATGGGTAAGAGTCAGGACAGGCCCACACAGCCAAAGCTTGCAGGTGGTATAGGTCTGGCTCCCACCTGATCCGTCAGGGCATGAGATGTGCAAGGGTGGGCCAGGTCTGTGGACTTGTCTGTCTGAGGAGAGGTGGAGCCCCTAAGCTCTGTTCTTCTGCAGGACTCCTATCGGAAGCAGGTGGTCATTGATGGGGAGACGTGTCTGCTGGACATCTTAGACACAGCAGGTCAAGAGGAGTATAGTGCCATGCGGGACCAGTATATGCGCACAGGGGAGGGCTTCCTCTGTGTGTTTGCCATCAACAATACCAAGTCCTTTGAAGACATCCATCAGTACCGGTAAGCCACCTATGGCTAGCCCATGAGCCCATGGCACAGGTGAGGAAGGTTCTGTGTGCACACTGAGGCTTTATGTCTTCTCCTGAATGTCCTGGATACAGCTATGCCTGGAGCCTGCTAGCTGGCTCACACACTCCTCATCCCCTTCCAGGGAGCAGATCAAACGGGTGAAGGACTCAGACGATGTGCCAATGGTGCTTGTGGGGAACAAGTGTGACCTGGCTGCTCGTACTGTCGAGTCTCGGCAGGCCCAGGACCTTGCCCGCAGCTACAGCATCCCCTACATTGAGACATCAGCTAAGACCCGGCAGGTGAGCTTGCTCCTCACTCTCTGCAGCTAGTCAGGGATTTACCCCACCCTACCCCCAGCATCGCCCTCTCCCTCAACACAGGGCAGCCGCTCTGGCTCTGGCTCCAGCTCCGGGACCCTCTGGGACCCCCCCCCCCGGGACCCATGTGACCCAGCGGCCCCCATGCTGTAAGTCTCCCAGATGGCAGGGCTGAGAGGGAGGCAAGGGCCAAGGTCTGGGCTTATGCCCTGCAGCTCTGAGATGACACAGCACCAGGGCAAGAGGGGGTCCATGGAGAGAGCTGCCCTGAGCCAGGCCGGAGCGGTGACCCAGGGGCCTAGTCCTTCTTGTCCCCATAGTGTCCTATGGGTACCTGCTAGTTTTGAGCCCTTAAGTGTGGTCAGGGTGTTCATACCTGAGCCATACTGGGGGCTTGGGAGAGTCCTCAGTTGAATGGCTCTGACTTCTCAAGATATTCTGGAGTGAGTCTGCTTAAGGAGAGTGCCTTGTGCCTTATAGATGCACAGAGCCCAGCTCCCTATTTGTCTTGGTTGTGCAGTGAGGAAGGGTTGTTTTCCAGGGTCGGGGTGTTCCCTGATCCAGGCAGCACCCATTTCGTCCTCAGAGTCCCCTCTGATCCATCCCCTCTGTTCCCAGGGTGTGGAGGATGCCTTCTATACACTAGTACGTGAGATCCGGCAGCATAAACTGCGGAAGCTGAACCCTCCCGATGAGAGTGGCCCCGGCTGCATGAGCTGCAAGTGTGTGCTGTCCTGACGCCAGGTGAGGCAGGGACCAGCAGAAGTCTGGGGCAGTGGCCCCAGCTAGCCAGATGAACTTCATATCCACTCTGATGTCCCTGCTCCCCCCCATCCTGCCAATCCCCCTGCCTGCGGTCAGTGCTGTCCTTTGTGCCTATCTCGGCACAGGCTCAGGACGTGGAGGTGCCGGATGCAGGGAGGAGGTGCAGACGGAAGGAAGGAAAGAGGAGGGAAGGAAGGAAGGAAGCGATGCTGGAGCCAGTCCAGTCCAGGGATGGTGGACAGAGATGACCAAGACCTTCGCATGGACAATTTGAACTGACTGTCATGAACTGTCCCTATTGCCACTGGCACCCCAGCCCTCAACCCCTTTCAGTTCCCTCCGGGTGCCTATGGGGCACAGGTTGAATCACAGTAAATTATTTGATGGTCTTGACTTGTCTCTGGCTGGGAGTAGGAGGTGTAGTGCCTGTGGCCTCACAGAAGATACTGGGAACCTGGGCCTCATCATCTGCCTTGTTCTTGTTTCTGAGAAGAGGCTGCGGTGGGTGGCCAGCCTGGGCCCCTGGACTGTGCGGCCCTTTCCTTCTGCCTGCCCCAGCTGTCTGTGTTTCCTGCAGAAAGCATTAGGCAACACAAGAATAGTCAGGTGATATAAAAAGTGACCTATTGTCCTTTAAGTAATGGGAGGAGGGGGGCTTAAGAATAAAAGGGTATGGTATTCCTTGTCTTCAGCAGGAAACACATTTCCTGCATTCTGGGTTCCATGAAATATAGCCCCAAGAATTGCAGAGTATAAGACCTGCCCTGCCCCAGTGTCCTGCATCCCTCTGACCGATGATGGGGGACTCTGGAAATAGGGCCCTAGTGTTTTCTATGTGGCCTCAGGCCTCTGTCCCATCAGTGCCTAGAGCCTGGCAATCTTAACTCCCTGAGAGGGTAAAAGCTGCCTCACCAGTTCCTACTACCTCTCTGAAGTGTACAGATGTTCTCCAAGTCACCTGTCTGGCCTTTTTTTTTTTTTTTTTTTTTTGGTCTTTTGAGATAGGGTTTCTCTGTGTAACAGTCCTGGCTGTCCTGGAACTAGCTCTGTAGACCAGGCTGGCCTCTAACTCACAGAGATCCTCCTGCGTCTGCCCCCCAGGTGCTGGGATTAAAGGTGTGCGCCACTGCTGCCCCGCTACCTCTATGATCTTGAGAGGCACAAGACTGCCAGGTAGCCGCTCCCTGTTCCTAAAGGGCGTGCCATGCCCAGGGCCTCATTCTAGCACTCGTCATGGCTATGGGAGGCTCTCTCTCCTCATCCTGGCTGCTGGGCCCTTGGTGGGTGCGCTTTACCCTCTCAGTTGGGTGGAATTGGGTGAACTCCCTCTTTTGGAGAACACTTAGGATATAAGGGGTCTCCCATAGGCATGATGTAGGGGCTGCTGTAGAGTAGGTTGGTTAGTGGGACACCCCACTTGTACTCTTCCACAGCAGCCAAATGTTCGGCTTCTCCATCCACGTATATTTGAGGCTCCTGAGGTATCTGGAGCTTCAGTGGCTCCTTTGGAGCTATGTTGGTCATAGGTGGGTTGGAGACAGGGCCTGCTATGCTAGTGGTTGTCTTTGGCCCTGTTTGGGGGTTTTAGTAGGCTGGGCATGTTCTGGGCTATGACTGTAAGGGTGGACAGGAGCTTAGTGTTCCTGCTGGAAGCAGTAGGGTGGGGAACATAGGGTAGAGCTTGTGGGGCCTAGATTTGGCTGCCCTGGGAAGAGACCTCACACTGGAGCTAATATGGGAAGAATGTCATATTCCATCCTTCAAGACTCCACGGTGGAGGCCTGAAGATCCTTTAGCATTGTGTGGTTCAGCCTGAAGCAGCATGTCCTACAGAGGCTTCGGGAGGTTCTCAAAGGTACGGAGTTCAGTTCTGGGCTGGGCCCTGGGAAAGGTCATCGTCCATGTCCTGCCTGTGCCCAGGTCATCTTGCTAAGGCTACTGTGCCCCTTGTTTCTAACTCTGGTCTTGCTGTATACATAAGACCACAGCCAAAGAGCGTTCCTGCCAGGAAAATAGCCTCAACTCTTTTCTTTGGTATGGGGGTGGGCTTAGGGCGTGGGACAATACCTTGCACCCTACCCAGCTGACCACAGCTGGTCTGGCCCACCCTTTGTGGCTGGCTCACTCAGGGCTGGAGAGGTAATACAAATGATTGGTTTGAGTGTGGCCCACAGCGAGCCAAGGTCTGTCTTGCATACTTGAGAAGTGACTTCCATGTATATTGAGGGCTGGTTTTTTTGCCATGGTCATGACCCACAACCTCGTCCTCCAGAATGTAGATATCCCAGAGCTTCAGGGGGCTTGATGTCTGCAAATACAGCAGGCATGCAGGGGGCTTGACATCTGCAAATACAGCAGGCATAAGAGGGTGTCACCTGTCCAGGTGGGACCAGTGGTCTGCACACAACCTCTGGTTCTCTGTAGAGGTGATTCCATGAAGCTGTTATCAGGCTTGTAGCTGCTCAGGGCTGGACTTAGCAGCTATGACCCTGGGATGAGGGGCTTGCCGAGACTCTCTGATTCTGTCTTGGCTGGGTCTGCCAACGACACTTGCTCAAACTCTGACATGTGCTGTGGGATGTGTGGCAGGAAGGCAGGAGGTCTATGGCCTAGTTCACCTGTTAGATACGGACTCTCCTGGCCTTCTTAGAAGCTAGGGAGCTCCTGGGACAGCTATACCCCTGGACTGGGAAACTGGCACTGTGGAGCAAGGAAGGTCCCTGCAGGAGCCCTGGATAGTTGGGGTCTCCTTACTGTCCTGAGTTCCTCAGGGTCTCCTGCTCCTCATGGCCCCCAAACCTCTCTATTCCAGGTCCAGCCCAGCGCCTCTGGGGATGAGGCAGGTCTCTTCACTCACTCATGCTTTTTTACCTCATTCTCATAAGCTGAGAGCCAGAAGGTGGTGGCTGGAACCATTTGCAGATTCCTGAGAGCCTATAACCAACAAATAGAGCTTATTCCAGAGGTGCGAAGCCACGGCTTGGGGACAGTAGCAGGTGTCCCAGGAACCTGGGGCGTCCTTTCATCGTACTCTGCGTCCCCATTATGCAGCTGCAGCCTCAGAGAAGGAAGGAGGAACACCCACACAAGTCCTAGCTGGACTTGCTGCCTTCCTATGTCTTGTTTCCTGAAGGGCAGGGTAGCCTTTGAGGCAGACTATGGCCGATAGGGTTTGTGCAGCCTGTCGGGCCGGTGAAGCTAGGACAAGAACAGGGTGGGAGGTTTGTGGCTGTCTCTTGGGCTCAGGATGAGGAGAGGACATGGTTAGGCTGATGCTGTCTCCTGGATTTTGGCCATAGATGGTGAGAGATGCAGAATGACTGACTGGAACACATCACCTGGTTTGCTTATGCATAGAGGGCTCTTGGCTGATGAGGGACGTGAGGGAGTCGTTTGACAGGTCTGGGTGCTTTGACCACAACAGACAGTCTAGTGGTTCAGGACACATAGGGAAGGGAAGGTGCTGTGACTGTAAATTGCCATCATTAATCAGTATGGCTGTCACCCAGCTTGGCTGTTTGGTGCCACGGGAAGCTGTCTACTGAACTTGGACAGTATGCCACTCATTAGTGGGTTGGCAGCTGGGCCGATGCCCAAAAGGCATCTTCCTTACTGAGGACCATCATCAGGACAGTGACAGCCTGGCCCATGCCCAGGCAGTGGTCCTTGCTTTCAGGAGTCAAGTCATTGTGGGAGAAGATCACTCAAGAGGGTTGTGATCCTTGGAAGGCTGCCAGAGGTCCCAGGGAAGTTGAATGTGCAGCCTCTGCATTTTCCCCCGACACCAGGGTTCTGGCTAGAGGACAGGGAGCCTTGCCGGGGACAGAGGCTGGAAGGAGGTCTGGAAAGTGGGTTGGGGAAGGGAGCAGCCACCTTGGGGACTGCCTACTGGACTTGTTCTTTTTGTTTTTTTCAAGACAGGATTTCTCTGTGAAACAGTCCTGGCTATTCTAGAACTCACTCTGTAGACCATGCTGGCCTCGAAATCACAGAGATCCACCTGCCTCTTCCTCCCAAGTGCTGGGATTAAAGGTGTGCGCCACTACCACCGGCCTGGTCTTGTTCTCTTACGGGGTTCAGGCACATAGAAACCTCTGACTCTCCCCGGCAGGAATAGTAACTTGGCACTTTCAGGATCCGGGCTTGAGGACCAGTAGTGTTCATTGGGTATTTCAGTAGCCTGCCACGTGCTGCTTCTGGGATAGCATGTTGCAGCACTGCCACGCTTGTGGGGTTCTGGGGTACACTCAGGAAAGAGTCAGGTCCAGGGGTGACCAGGAGCTAGAACCCCCACACCCTTTCAATCCCTGTCCTAGACCAGGAAGCCCTAGCTCCTTGCTACACCGCAGTGATCGGTTAACCCTCACTGCTGTGTCCTGCCTACATAGTGATAGAGCTGGCCTGGGGGTGACGCTGCAGGACTGAGGGAGGAAATGAACCACTTCCTGTAAGAGGAAGAGAAGTACAGCTCAAGGGAGACGGGGAAACAGACTGTAGAAGCAGCAGTGGTTATGGGACACCCTACCCATGGTCACACAGTGTGTCCATGTCCTAGGGCCCTGTATTGTCCATAGGAGACGTCACAGTAGTAAGGCTGCTGCCTGAAAGTGTCCATGCCCACTGGTACTATGTCAGTCCCTGGCAAGGAAACCCAAGCTGAGTTGGGACCATGCCGCAAGCATGCAGCAAGCCTCTCTGGGCACAGCTCTTTTCTGCTTTTGAGGGTAAACCATGTCAGGGACCCAGTGGATGAAGTTCAAGTTTCATTCTGGTTGATTGATTTTGTTGTTGGTGCATATGGTTTCAGTCTTTGGAATATATAGTCCCACGAGTTTGAGCCAGAGTGTAGAGCCTTCATGTGGTAGTCATCGGTTTGACTGTAAGAAACAGTGTCTTCCAAGGAGGAGGCCTAGTAGGTGTTTGATGGAGAAGCTACACACCTGGCCCCCACACTGCTGGAGTCTCTGCCCAACCTCCAGTCTGTTCCTATCTCCCCTCAGGAGTTCTTTCTTCTTACAGCACGCAGTGCATGCCCTTTAACCTTGCACCCCCTCTGGCAGGCAGCTCTGTCACTTTATAGGTCTTTACTTGCACAAGGAGGCCCAGGAGTCCCTTGTCCTGGTGCCCTCTCTGTAGGGCATCATGGAGAGTGCTTTCACTATGCACCATTGTTTGTTCCCAGTATCATTCTCCTTGGGTGCCACCTAGGTCCCAGCCCCTCCTGTTTAGGGTCTGATGCTATGGAACCCAGCAGACAGATATGGCTACTTTCTATAAAGAAAGGTCCCTTGGTAGTATCACCCCTCCTTCTGGACTTCTAAATCTTGCTTCAGACTCCTGTCTGTCCTCCTGGGACCCATGCCCCTGTCCTCTCCCTACAGGCCTTCTGGCAC